GGGTGACCTTGTACACCAGTCACAAAAAGTTAGTATGCAGATACAGAAAGCAACTAGGAAGGCTAATGCCATGTTGGCGTTCGTTGCAAAAGGGTTAGAGTACAAGAGTAGGGAAGTCTTGCTGCAGTTGTATAAGACGTTGGTGAGACTGCACCTAGAATATTGTATGCAGTTTTGGTCTCCTTATTTAAGAAAGAACATACTCACCTTAGAGGGGGTGCAGTGTAGATTCACTAGGTTGGTTCCTGTGATGAGGGGGTTGACCTATGAGGATAGGTTGAGTAAACTAGGCCTATATTCTCTAGAATATAGAAGAATTAGAGGTGATCTTATAGAGACCTATAAGATTCTTAAGGGTCTTGACAGAGTAGATGCCGTGAGACTGTTTCTCTTGGTTGGAGAATCTAATACTAGGGGTCGTAGTCTCAAGATTAAGGGACAGCTTTTCAAACTGAGTTGAGGAAACATTCCTTTACTGAGAGGGTCGTGAATTTGTGGAATTCTCTACCCCAGAAGGCTGTGGATGCTCAGTCCTTGAACATATTCAAGACTGAGGTTGATAGATTTCTAAAGGATAGAGGGATTAAGGGATATGGGGATGGGGCAGGTAAATGGAATTAGGTTAGAAGATCAGCCATTATCTTAGTAAATGGTGGGGCAGGCTTGAGGGGCCAAATGGCCTACTCCTGCACCTACGTCTTATGATCTTATTACATTTATAAAGCACCTTTCATGTCGGGAGGACGTCCCAAGGTGCTGAACAGTCAGGAGTGTGGGCGGCAGGTGTGGGATGAGGGAGGGCAGAGAGGTAGGAGGGCGGCTGAAGGCACGGTCAAAAAGGAGGGTCTTGATTCGTGCCTTGAAGGAGGCAAGAGAGGGAGCAGGGCAAAGTGATTGTGGGATGGAGTTCGAAAGAGTGGGGGCAGAAAGGCTGAAAGCCCGGGCCACTCATGGTAGGGTGTGTCGGGCGGGAGACCCGCAGCAGGTCGGAGCCGGCTGAATGGAGGGAATGGACAGGTTGATAGGTCAGCAGGTCAGAGGTATAGAAGGGGGCAAGGCTATGGAGGGTCTTGAAAGCGAGGACAAGGATCTTGAATTCTAACCTTTGAGGGTTGGAGAGCCAGTGGAGCCGGGCGAGGGTGGGGGTGATGCGTTCACGGAGCCTGGTTCGGGAGAGGACACGATCTGCAGCTTGTGGAGGGAAAAGTTGGGGAGATCGACATGGGGGGAGTTTCTATAGTCAAGCCTTGAGGTGACGAATGTATGTATGAGGGTTTCGGCGACCTGAGGGGTGAGGCAGTGGCAGAGTTGGGCAATGTTGCAGAGGTGCGGGAAGGCAGAGTGGGTCATGGCACGGATAGGGGGGGAGAAAGGACAGTTGAAGGTCGAACAAGATGCTCAGGTTCCTAACTGGCTTGGTGAGGTGGAATTTGCATCCGTGGATGCTGATGCTACAAGTGCCTGAGGTGCGGAGACGCTGGCGCGAGCCAATCAAGAGGGCTTCAGTCTTGCTGACACTCAGCTGTGGAAAGTTAGCTCTCATCCAGGACTTGATGTCTGACAGAGTCTGTCAGGACAGCAGTTGTCCTAGAATCGAGGGTGGAGGCAGAGAGATAGAGTTGGGTGTCATCCGCGTACATATGGAAGTTGACCCCATGTCTGTGGATGATGTCACCAAGGGGGAGCATGAACAGGTTGAAGAGGAGGGGAGTGAGGACAGAGCCCTGAGGAACACCACACGAGACAGTGCAGGGGCTGGAAGAGAAACAGTTGGCGGAGACAAATTGGAGACAGTGGGAGAGATAAGACCTGAACCATTGAAGGACAGAACCTGGAAGATTGAGGTGAGAGGAGAGGCGGTGGAGGAGGATGGAGTGGTCCACTGTATCGAAGGCAGCAGAGAGGTCGAGGAGAACGAGAAGGCAGAGGCGGCACTTGTCACAGATGGACAAAATGTTGTTTGTCACCTTGCCCAGAGCAGTTTCCATGCGTTCCAGTTTTGGTCAACTTGTATTTTCCTATTTGGCGAGATGTGATTTACCTGGGATGGCAAGTGGCAATACTACAGGGTGGCAAACTTGGTTAAATCCCAAGGCACTTGACCTATTTGTAACCAATGTTGTCGGACTTTCTGCCCTCTTACTGGGAATAGTAATGGAATAAGGAGGCACAATTTAACATTGTTAATGTATTTATCCACTTCCAGGTTTTGCAAAATTGCATTTTTTTTACGTTTGCGTGAGACTGTGCCTTTCTCTTCCGCCTGAAAGAAAACGCAAAGTAAAAGCAACAATTAATCAGAATTCTTTTTAATCTCACTTTTGGGATTTGAACATGTGCTGATTTTGTTAACTGGCAATATTGGGCCGGACAAGAAGTCTTAAACTAGGGCATCAACTACCTAGTTAGCTGTGGTGAAGAGCGGAGCTGGGAGAGAGAGAGGAAACATCATGTTTTCGAGGTGGATTTGAGACCCAGGTTTCAAAGGCAACGGATATCATGAAACATGCTGCTCCTTCACACTGCTCCTCCTGAGCTATTTTAATCTAATGTTTAAAGCACTTGGCTGGTACCTGGGGGAGATTTTTGCTAAGGAGGAATAAAGGAAGGATGGAATGAAAAAAGGTCATTCAGCCCATGAAGCTTAATCCTTCCAGAGTTCATCTGTGCATCTTTTCTTTCCTATCCAACCCAGGTAGCTGCCTGAGGAAAAGTCTTGAATAATCTAATTGGTCTGTTGATGTAACCATTTTCTATATACGGTGCTGGGTAACGAATCTGGAAGCTTCCGTTTTCTAGTTCCTGTAATAAATGTCAGTACCTCAGTACTAGTCATATTTGTAATCTTGCTGTGGATGTGGGAATGTTTAAAGAGTACTGTGTGCATGCCATCAGTCTTGTCAAATACATTTAGTAAAATATTATGATATTGCTCTTGAATTCAGAAACTGAGATCTAATTTGATGGAAACCAAGCCTTGCTGTGTCTGCAGTTTCAGATGTTTGTTCACCTATTTCCTGGATTTTCAATAAGGGCCAATTAAAACCTTTCTTGGCATTCTTACAAACTCCTAAATAAATTCATGGCAAGGCAATGTCATACAATCATAGCTGTAGCTGCAAAACAGTTTTCAACATGTTTCTGACTAACCTGCAGCAGGGGGACCTGAAGCTTGCATGCAAGCAGTCTGTATCTTTTTACCATTACAATAAAGGCTCTGCATTGCAAGAGCACTTAAATAATAATCTTAGCATTTGACATGTTGTGATTCATTCAAAAGTCTCAAAGCATTTCACAGATTTTATTTAAGCTGAAGTTTAACGACTGTATTAGTAGGGAAAGTTTTGGTGTTTTGTTACTCTTGGCACATGGCTTCTAATTTGATGGAGAGTTAGAATTCTTGTTGAAGACATTCTAGGAATCGCAAATGAGTTGCTAATTATAATTGCATTTGTGACGATAACAGGCAGTAAAATGAGCAAAATACATAGACTTACAGCCCAGAACTGACCAACTAGTCTGTGCCAGTGTATGTACGTAAATGTGAATTTGAACTCTATTGCACAGATCACATTGTGACTGTTTTCCTTTCCGTCTACAAATTTACAGTGCTTTGACCCAAATGTGGGAAGGTTGGGATCAGGGAGAGGGTAGGTCTGAGAAAGGAGGAGGGTGGCCGAAGGCACGGTCAAAGAGGAGGGTCTTGTTGCTTGCCTTGAAGGAGGAAAGGGAGGGAGCGAGGCAAAGGCAATGTGGGATGGAGTTCCAAAGGGTGGGAGCAGAGAGACTGAAGGCCCGACTGCTGATTGGGAAGGGGGGTGGGCGGGGGACACGGAGCAGGCCGGAACCTGCTGAGCGGAGTGAATGGTTAGGTTGATAAGGAGTTAACAGGTCGGAGAAGCAGGAGGGAGCAAGGCCATGGGGGGCCTTGAAGGTGAGGATGAGAATTTTGAACTGGATCCTCTGAGGGATGGCAAGCCAGTGCAGCCGGGTGAGGGTGGGGGTGATGGGATTATGGAGCCTGGTGGGGGAGAGGACACGAGCTGCAGAATTTGGGATGATCTGCAGCTTGTGAAGGGAAGAGTTGGGAAGGCCAACAAGCAAGACATTGGCATAGTCAAGCCTGTTTGTAATGAAAGCATGTATAAGGGTTTCGGAGGGCTGAGGTTTGAGGCAGTGGCGGAGTCGGGACATGTTACAGAGTTGGGGAAAGGCAGTGCGTGTCATGGTATGCATATAGGGTAGAAAGGACGCCTAGGTTTCTTGACTGGCTTGGTGAGGTGGAGTGTGCATCCTCTCCCTCAATCCCTCCGCTTTATCTCCCCTCTCCCCTTTTCAAGTCCCGCCTGAAAACTAAGTATTGCCGACGTTCAACTGTAACAGTTAACTTTCATCCAGAACTTGATGTCCGACAGCCAATCTGTCAGGACATCAGTGGTCCTGAGGTCGAGGGTGGAGGCAGAGAGGTACAGTTGGGTGCCATCCACATACATGTGGAAGTTGACCCCATGTCTGCGGATGATGTCACCAAGAGGGAGCATGAACAGGTTGAAGAGGAGGGGACCAGCAACAGCCCTGAGCGACACCGACCCATCTGGCAGCACATACTTGTTTTGATTGGAAATAAATCCTTTAAAGGTGTCGGTTTGCTCAGTTGGTAGTATTCTCGGGTTAGAAAATTGAGGACTTGAGTTCACAATGTAGGACAAGAGGGGGGATTTCCAAAATAGAATTGTATGTCCAAACTTTGAGATTCACAGTCAGATTGAACCTGACTGGGAATCTCCATCTCCCGACCCACACCAACCCCCCACACCACCCAGTTTCCACACAAGTGTTCCAATTTTTAAGATTATATTGAATATTTATTGTTCCATCCTTCCTGACTTTTTTTTAATCTTCTCGCCAATATGTTTTGACACATTTAAAATCCTTTAAATGTACTGCTAATTTGAAACATTGGTGCCATTGGCTAATGATTCTTTCATTTTACTTTATAGGAAACACAGCTTTGCACGACTGTGCTGAGTCCGGGAGCTTGGAGATCATGAAGATGCTGCTTAAATACGGAGCGAGGATGGAGAAAGATGGGTACGGAATGACCCCATTGCTCTCAGCCAGTGTGACCGGTCACACCAACATTGTGGACTTTCTAACCCAGCATCCACAAACCAGCAAGGTCGAGAGAATCAATGCCCTGGAGCTCCTGGGAGCCACCTTTGTTGACAAGAAGAGAGATTTGCTGGGAGCTATGAAGTACTGGAAGAGAGCTATGGACATGCGATACAGCGATATTGCTAGAGTCCTTGGGAAACCTGAGCCCAAGGAGTTAGTGATGGCTTATGATTATACCAAAGAAGTAACGACTGTGGAGGAACTGGAAGCCTTGATTGCTGATCCAGATGAGATGAGGATGCAGGCTTTATTGATCAGAGAGAGAATACTGGGCCCCTCTCACCCAGATACCTCTTATTACATCAGGTACAGAGGTGCAGTCTATGCCGATTCTGGCAACTTTGAAAGGTGCATCAATCTGTGGAAGTATGCGTTGGATATGCAGCAGAGCAACCTGGACCCATTGAGCCCCATGACCGCCAGTAGCTTGCTGTCTTTCGCTGAACTTTTTTCTTTTATGCTACAAGACCGAACGAAAGGTGTCTTGGGAACGTCCGTGTCTTTCTCTGACTTGATGGGGATACTGAGCAAAAGCGTCTTTGAGATAGACCGGGCCATTAAACAGATACAGTCTCCCCCAGATCCTACGCAGCTAAGCAAAGCCCTGTCCATCATCTTGCATTTAATTTGCTTGCTGGAGAAAGTGAAATGCAGCTCTGAGCAGGAGCAGTTCAAGAGGCAAACCATCTACAGGTTTCTGAAGCTAAACTCCAGAGGGAAAGCTGGGTTTTCTCCACTTCACCTCGCAGTCGATAAAGACACCACCTCTGTCGGTCGCTATCCAGTTTGTAAATTCCCATCTCTGCAAGTCACAGCAATGTTGTTGGAGTGCGGAGCAGACTTCAACTCAAGAGACTTGGACAGCAACAGTCCTTTGCACATTGCTGCACGCAACAACCACCCTGAGATCATGAATCTTCTGATTAAGGCAGGAGCACACTTTGACACCACAAACTCCCAAAAGCAGACAGCCTGCGACTTACTCGATGAGAAGGAAATGGGGAAAAACTTAATTCAACCTATCAACCATACAACTTTACAGTGTCTTGCTGCCCGTGCCATAGTCAAACACCAATTGGTTTACAGAGGACAGATCCCAGAAAAATTGGAGGCATTCATTTTGCTGCACAGATGATTGATTGCTTCATAAGCTCTCTTTTTGTAAATATGGGAAGAAATTGTTCAAGTACTTAAGTTTTCATCTTGCGCTAAGGGATGTTGAATGGATTCAGCAGCTTTTAGTGAATGATGACAGCTGCATGCTTTGTTTTGCCTTGTGGCCAACCACGCACCACAGTTCATGCACAGCAGTAATGCATGTATGTGTATATATAAATATATTGTAACTTTCATCAGTATTTTAATGGTGTCTGGTGCTGTATGCCACAAGTTTGCTTTTGGGTAAATTGGGCACGGTTCAGCCTGTAATGCCTTTTGAGCTCTAGAAAAATTTCTGCCAAATGTGATTTTCGTTCTAACCATATTTTACTATTTACAAAGTATCAGGGTATCTGAAGCTGACTTTTCAATTCCTTTTTGTGCTGGTTAGTGTAGATGCAATTTTCACAATTTTTAAGAAAAACTTATCTGTTTTGCCTCTGTTCACAACTGTGAGCCATTTAATTAATCCTTGCAAGCTGTTTAAACTAGCTTTAACATCAGCAATACCTGAAGTGCTTTTAAGTTTCCAGTGCACTGGCTTGGACGAATGACTGTTCTGTGTCGGAACATTTCTCTGCAGATACTGCATCCTGAATGGGACATTGGGTATCTTTTCCATGCGATACTTTTCCTTTTTGAAGCGCTCATTCATCAAAAACGTCATAGGTATTTTTAAATTGGCAAAAGATGTATTCTGACCTCTTGCAACTGATGGAAAGCACCTGTGGGCTTTTTTTGTACAAATTTAAAAATAGGGCTTTACCCTCAAGGTTGCTGCATTGTGTCCTTTAATGTCTTGTTAGTGAATGAATGGGGGGAATGAGCTACCTTTTGATCCGTGAGCAAATGCATCTTTAAAATGGAGACTTTGAGAAGTTTGCTTTTAATGCCTTTTGTAGAGTAAACTGAGGTGTGGTTTCTTTGGTTTGAAGTGACCTCCTGCCTTTGAGGTGTTTAAAATCAATCGTTATGGAGATTACATCAAAGTACCTTGATAAACAGTGCATAAGAACCGTACTACTGTTGTAACACAGAGGCTGACCTGATTGAGAGAGGAGTTGGATTCAGGTAATTACTGTAATTCTGCACTTTATTGATAAGTTATGGCACGTGGGCCATGTAATGTCTTAATTGAAGTGTTCACAATAAAATGCAAGAAAGTTTCACTCGCCTTTGCCAGTGTCAAATTTGCTGTGTTGCCAATTGTTGTTCATGGAGTGGATATTTCCAGCCTGTAAAGGAATTGCTGCTTTTAAATGTACTTTATACAACATGTGGTGTGTGTAACCCATAGAATAAAAGTTATTCTATGACTGTAGAACAACTTCCATGAAAGAAAATGACTGGAATTTATTTGTAATTTCACCTTTTCAGAATCATAAAGCTTACATAAATGTTGCACAAATGTCCAGTATTTTGTTTCAGGCATGCATGTTTGTGACATGTCTGATGCAAATTCATAAAATTGTTGATCTTTACAGACACGTGTTTCAAACCTCAAATTAATTTTACACAAACTTATAAGCATAATTGTTTTTGGTCAGCCGACTGTCTGACACACCCATTACCATGTTCAAGAGTATCCAAACCAAACTGCGAATTCTCCTAGAAATGCAGCAGAGAAGCTTCCTCCCACCCAAGGATTAAAAAAAAGGATTAGCCATACTATTGGGGATGTACTGCAGGTCAAACCACAGAGGAAAAGTAGATCTAATCAGGCAGATAAGGGAGATGAGCAAAAATATTGAAAAAATAATTATGGGGTAATTTCAATTATCCTCAGATAATGGGCAAAGAAAGTGTACAATCAGCCAGTATTCCTGCTTCTGTTCATTTTCAGTTTTTGACGTACCTTGTTTGAAAGCTTGAAAATGCACGTGGATGAACATTGGTCCAGGCTTAACTGAGAAGCTCCACAGTCGGAGCCTGCTATCCTCCCTATCTATGCTCGTCCATTAAGAATGGCCACTTTGGGAATGAGTTGGTAGAGCGTAGTAGCTGGGAATGAGAGCAGCAGCACCTATAGAATTGTAACCAGTAAATGTCAAGTTATCACCATTAGGAATGGAGGATGGAAACACTGATTGTCCAATGCCTTGGGACGTCCTCCTGACGTGAAAGGCGCAATACAACTAATTTTGTTGTTGGAAGAATATTGGCAAATATACTAATAACCCTTGCATTTTATATAGCGCCTTTTATGTCGAGAACATCCCAAAGCACTTCATAGGATTCACTGTAAAAAGTGTTCTGTATTTTGATGGAGAACACCTGCAATAGACTATTAAACCTAATTTAATATATTTTCTATACTTTGTGGAAACTGGATTGAGAGGGTTGACAGGTGTCCAGAAATATTTCCATGGCCTGTGCTAAGACCAGGTAATATTGGAGTTCAGACGTCTAGTTGGCTTAGTTGAGTGTTGCTAAGGTAACTACTTGTTTCGGGTGATACTGTACTTGTTTTGTGTGAAGGCACATTGAAGCAGCATAGAGGAATCCCTTAGGAGTGCTTGGTACTGTACTTTGCCCATGATAGTGTTTGTGGGGCAGGTGAGTGGAAAGAAGTTGACGGAAAATCGAAAGGAACAAAAAAGCCAATTCCCAGTCATGATCATGACCGAATGATCCACCCTAAGTCCGAAAGAAGGACTAGGGAAGTGTTAAGGGAGGGAACATTATATTCCATGGTAAGTATTGAAATGCCTTTTGTTTTGTAGCTCCTGATATTCAGAATGTTTATTTAAAGCATTTGGTAAATTTTATACTTCTCGAGATGAACAATGTTAGTTTTACTAAGTGAAATACCCATTCAGCCATCCAATATCATCATTAACTACTCCCAGATTAGATGCTCTCTAGTTGGGCACGGACAAGTTAAATGCTTCCTCTACTTTGCCCAAGAAATCTGCTCTAAGATGTAACTTGTTACTATGTCAGTATTACCATTTCACTTTGTACTTCAGCTATCCTATGGCTTTTTAAATGGAGCGAGTGAATGCTCTGATGCCCACTGAAACAGATGTGGCTATGCTGCATAGTATGTAGCAGAGAACCAGATGCATTTGTATTACACCAATTCATCATATACATAACTCACTTGGGATTGACCCATTCTAGGTTTTCCTTTCATTCAGAATAGCTAGTTATTACTGTCCTTATTGTGTATCATTTATGAAGAGATTACTCCATATGTTCCATGCTTTGCTGATTTAAAAAGGAAAGGTTGGACAACTGTTTAGCTCTTTAACGATCACAATTTAATTATGACAATCAGTTATGACAGAATAATGTTATTCGTACTGCCAGGACTCTCTTCTCAAATGTGTGCATTTGTTGCTGAGAAATTCCTCATGATTGAGCAGCCTGCTGCTGCTGAACATCGACATAAACGTCTACAATGATAAGGAATAGGATGACTATTTACACTTAAATGCTCTAAAAGCTGAAATGCTCTAAAAGCACAGAATAGTACTTTCTGGAAGGAGAGGAAAACTATTGGAGAAGGGATAGATATCATGCTGGTTGTCGCTCTTGAAAAACAATAGCTTTTATTTATATGAAATATCTTTGTTGTTAAAATTGTACAGATGTGCCACTGTTAGGGGAGCCACTACAGAGAATTGCTTCAGGTGAATTAAAATTGGATAAGGAAACTATTGGGATGCATCAACCAAATAGCATAAATATGCCACAGATAAACTATGGGATTCATGTCCAATTCTGGTTATAATCTCTATTCCCAATTCCAGTTTTATAATTTGGAACAAAATAGGCATAGGTTGAAAAATAAGACTCAATGTTGGGTTATTTCCTGGAATCTCTTGCTTGTCTGTTTTGAATAATTTTTATTGTTCTAGACAGAATAAATGCTAATATAATTAGACTTCCCATGTTGCGTAATTGTGTGAATTGCTTCAGTGTGCGTCAGTGCTGTGGCATTCCGATAATCGCCTTCACTTGCTCTTGAGCAAGATGCAATCTTCAAATATCAATGGAAGTTAAGTACATGCATGGCATTCTGTAATGGGAATCTCCCTTTCTATTAAAGGGAACCAAGAACAGGTCAACCGATTGATTTAATGTTTACTAAACCTTGGGGAGATGCCTAAAATAACACTAATATATGAATGCAAATAAATACTTTTCTAATGAGGCGACGACTGAGAATTTGAATTTGAGCTACTTGCTACGATTGTTCTACTGAGAATAGTGCTTCAGTTGTGGCAGATGAGAGCGCAGGTTGGAAGAACAGCAACTTCTTTCCTGTAAAAGAGAGATCTGGCACATGATGTTGCTTTGCAGTCAATGGAAAGATTCCTTATATATTTAAGAGAATCCTTTTCTTCATTGACAACTGCCTGTGGGTCTGGCTCTACACATCAAGTAATTCATATTCATTACTTGGGTCTCTAATTTAGACAGGAGGTTAAACCCCAAAATTATAATGCTGGCAGTATAATTACTGATGCTTATTCTGTTGATTTACATAGAACCTTTGTTACATTATGTTTGAATTAAACGCAGTCCTGGATCTCAGTCGGACTGTCTTCACTGGAGGGTGAATTTGAGGACAGCTGTGTATTCTCATCCACCAGATATGTCAACCCATTTTCCAGGCAATAATCCTAGGTTTACCAATTTGCAAACAGCAACTCAAGCAATGCAACGCCCCAACACTACAGTGAAATGAGCCCAGTCTATATAAGCTCAAAGCCCTGGGGTGAAGCTTGAACCCAATCTTCTCACATATAGACAAGAGTGCCCCAACGAGCCAAGTTGGCACACTTTGCTACAATTGGATTACAATCTACATCTTAAAAAAAAATATATTAGAAATTTAGTTTTAACAAATGGGGAAGAACAATCGATTAGTATCTAAAAATAGAATATTTTAAACGAGATTCATCTCAATTCTGAAAATTTGTCAAACTTTTAACCTATTTTTCTCTTTCAGATTCTAATTAACCTGTTGCAGATTTCAGTATTTATTTATAATTTGAAATCTGGTGTTAGATTGGGGAATATTTATTCAGAATTAACCTGGTGTGATGGATTACATCCATGATGGGTTAAGATTAACAATCCTTGCATTTAATACAGCACCTATAAAATCAATGTCTCAAAGCACTTCACAGGCAATTGCTTTAAACAACGAAATTACATTTGTTTAACGCCTTTCACGTTGGGAGGACGTCCCAAGGCGCTGGACAGACAGTTAAGGACCCAAGCTGGGAGTCGGGGGAGAGTGGAGGGCAGGGGGGAAAGCAGAAAGATCGAAAGCACGGTCGAAGAGGAGGGTCTTGAAGGTGGCGAGGAAGGGGGCAAGACGTAGAGTATGCGGGATAGAGTTCCAGAGGTTGGGGGCAGAGTGGCGGAAGGCCTGCCCACCAATAGTGGGGTGAGCAAGGCGGGGACCTGAAGCAGGCTGAAGCCCACTGAATGGAGGGAGCGAACAGGGTTGTAGGCTTTGAAGGTAAGGACCAGCATCTTGAATTGTATCCTTTGTATGATGGGAAGCCAGTGGAGTTGGGCAAGGATGGGGGTGATAGGGTCGCGGAGCTTAGTGCAGGAGAAGACATGGCTGCAGAGTTCTGGAAGGATCTGCAGCCTGTGGAGGGAGGAGTTGGGGAGACCGACAAGCAAGGAGTTTGCATAGTCAAGCCTCGAATGTAATAAAGGCGTGTATGAGGGTTTCGGCAGCCTGTGGTGTAAGTGTCGGAGCCAGGCAACGTTGAGGTGGGGGAAGGCAGAGCGGGCCATGGCGCAGATGTGGGGTAGAAAGAATAGTTGAGGGTCCAACAAGACCCCATGATTTCGGACTGGCTTAGTAAGGTGGAGTGTGCAACCATGGATGTGGATGCTGTCACCGCCTGAGGTATGGAGGCTCTGACGGGAGCCAATCAGGAGAGCCTCGGTCTTGTTGACGTTCAACTGAAAAAAGTTAGCTTTCATCCCGGACTTGATGTCTCACAGACATTCTGTCAGGACAGCAGTGGTCGTGGAGTCAGAGAGGTACAGTTGGGTCGTCATCCACATACATGTGGAAGTTGACCCCATGTCTATGGATGATAATAATAATAATTTTCCTTGCATTTGATATAGCGCTTTTCACATCTTCTAGATGTCTTGTGGAGTCCTGTAGCTCAGTGGTTAGAGCATTCGCTTTGCGACTGAGAGACCTGAGTTCAATTCCAGGCAGAGGGCGAAACCTTGGGCAAGTTTCCTTACTCCACACAGAGCCTAATAATAATCCTCCAAAAAAAAACCAAAACAATAATAAAAATTGGTCATTTTCAATCTACGACTGTTTGTGGGACATTGCTGTGCGCAAT